AGAAATATCTATTTAGATCCTTTTGCCCATTTTTTAAACTGGGTTATTATTGAGTTATAAGAGTTCTTTCTATAAACCAGATACAAGATCCTTATTAGATATATGATTTCCAAAATTTTTCTCTCATTCTGTGGGTCTTCTTTTCACTTTAATGGTGTGCTTTGATGCACAAAAGTTTGTAATTTTAATGATGTCCAATATATCTTTTTTATTTTGTTCCTTATGCCTTGATAGCATACCTTTGAAGCCATTGCCTAGTTGGAGATTTATGCCTATGCTTTTATCTAAGAATATTATAGTTTTGGCTTTTCCATTTAAGTCTTGTTGCATTTGGAGTTCATTTTTGTGTATGGTGTGAGATAGGGATCTAAATTAATTATTTCATATGTGGATATCCAATAGTCCCAGTACCATTTATTATTCTTTATTCATTGAATTATCCTGGTGCCCTTGTCAAAAATCAGTTGACTAAAAATGTGACAGTTTCTCTCTCATTTCCTTTCTCTTGGCCTCTATGTATATCTTTATGAGTATGTCACTGTCTTGGTTACTGTAGCTTTGTAATATGTTTTGAAATCAGGAACTATAAAACTTTGTTCTTCTTTTTCAATATTGTTCGGCTATCCTGGGTCTCTTAAATTTCCATGCAAATTTTAGAATTAGCTTTTCAATTTCTGCAAAGAAGCCAGCTGCAATTTTGATTGGGATTGCACTGAAACTGTAGATCCGTTTGCCACCTAAACAATATTAAATCTCCATGAGATAAGGTAGCTTTTCTAGGACCCTTGAAAAATTCTAGAATCCTCTTATCCCTAATTCTAGACTAATGAGGTCAACTATCTTTATATTTACATAACTAAGAGGGACTCACAAGAGACCCTTTAGAGGACACAGAGAACAATTTCTGTCAACTAAGTAAAAACACACCAAGCCACACTTGTCAGTAAATTGAGAAAAAAAGTGAAAGAAAACTATAAAACCATTTTATATGAAGCAAAGAACTGTTTAAATATCACTGCAAGGGAGAAATAAAGTCTTATACATTATTTCCTTACTTTTCCTGCTTTGTAGCATGACACTGTTGATGGAACTGCCTGCACAGATCTTTCCCAAAATACATATAATCCAATTTGGGAGTAAAGTCAATATTTGTATATATTTAATGTTGGTCAAAAACTACCTGATTCTAAAATTTCCCTAGTAGTTAATAAGAAGTACCATTAAAAATACAAAGTAAACCACACTCCTTCTGGTTCAGTTCCCTAGAAGACTATTTTAATTCCTAAACCAAGGCAGTCTGGGAAGGCTGGTTGCTCAGCTCATGGTGCTAATTATATTGTTGTGCTGTATTGAAGGTGTTTGAAGTAAATTAATTCAGAGCCGCTGCTAAGCGTGAGCTCATCAATAAATGAAGCACAACAAATAGATTTTTCTCCTGTAGTGTTTTCAGCAGCTGTCTTCTCACCCTCCCTTCTCCCCCTCCCGTGCTTGTTATCTCTAAGAAATCTACCCTACGTCCAGAGCCAGGATTTTCACTTTCTCTTTGTGCTCCTTGCTATGTCTCCCCCAAGTCCCCACCCCAGCACCAAGCATGGGGTGACAGACACAGAAACCACTCAGTTGATAGACGAATCGACCATCACTGTGGCTGTCGCAATGTCCAGGCACTAAGTCAGGCTCTTGACTCTTTCAAAGACCGTCTCTCTTAGAATCCTTTCACTCTTTTAACATATACAGGGTGTCCCCAAAACACATATACACACTTTAACAGCTGATAGCTCAGTTGGTGTTTCTTTTCAGCCAGACTAAGCTTTGAACAACGGGAATTCATCCTAAAATGCTACTGGAAGTTTGGAAACCCAGTTGAAGTGCAAACATTGCCTGTATAATTACTTTAATAGCTGATAACTCAATTTTCACTTCTTTTTAGTAAAAGGCGAAAGATTTATGCGATCTGAAGAGAAACCAGAGTATTCACTTATTTTTAGGTTTAACTGATTGAAATAATGGGTGAAGCCAGACTAAGCTTTGAATAAAGAAAATTTATCCACTAGACTTTTTTATGAGGATACATAAAAGATAAAGTTTACGGTACAAAATGGCAACAGTTGACGAATTGATGGCACACGAATACTGAATAAAATGATTCTTGATGTTTGCGATTCCATTGCTTCACGTTATCAGCAGTGCCTGGACCAGAATGATCATTAGTTTGGAAACAGGGCATTGACAAAAAATTATTCATTTCTGTAGATTCTTTTAAATTTTGAAAATGACCTGCATGCTATTAAACACTGACTTTATAATCATTCAAAGTGTGCATACACTGGTGCAGCCACTGTGGAGAACAGTAGGGAGTTTCCTCATAAAACTAAAAATGGAACTCCCATTTGACCCAGTGATCCCACTCCTAGGAATATATCCCATGAAATTAGAAACACCAATCAGAAAGGATATATGCACCCCTGGTGAATAGCGGCACAATTCACCATAGCTAAGATTTGGAAATGGCCTAAGTGCCCATCAGCAGATGAGTGGATTAAAAAACTGTGGTACATCTACACAATGGAATACTCTGCTGTAGTAAAAAATAAGGAATTCTTACCATTTGCAACAGCATGGATGGAACTGGAGAGCATTATGCTAAGTGAAATAAGCCAGTCAGAGAAAGATAAATATCACATGATCTCACTCATTTATGGAATTTAATGAACAACATAAACTGATGAACAAAAACAGATCCAGAGACAGAGAAGCATTGATCAGACCGTCAAACCTCAGAGGGAAGGTAGGGGAGGGTGGGGGTTAGGGGAAGAGATTAACCAAAGGACTTGTATGCATGCATATAAGCCTAACCAATGGACACAGACAACATAGGGGTGAGGGTATAAGTGGTGGGGGGGCAAGAATGGGGGAATAAGGACACATATGTAATAACTTAATCAATAAAGAAATTAAAAAACAAAACAAAGTGTGCATACCTTTTTGGGACACCTATAGTTATGACAGTCCTAGTCACCTGGATTCCTAGCCACCACAGGACTAGAAGTAACTAACTAGTTATTGGAAGCAAGCCCCTGTCAGAGACAAGGAGAGTCAGATAACATAAAAAGAGAAGATAGAAAACCCTGAACTTGAAAATCACAGCAGTCACCTAACGCAGGTGCAAAGAAACTTATCTCAACAGCCTATTGGGACTAAGGGCCATGGTCCTGAGATTTGAAAGGTTACACCATGCTCAAGATATTCAATTTCAAAGAGTAAAGAAATGCATATAACAAAGTTATATGTGTATATATGTATTAAAAATTTTCATTCAGAAAGATAGAAAAAATTTAAAACATTGACACTTAGAGAAGAAACTGTTGTTATGAAAGTGTTAACCTTTTTAAACAGCCCATTACTCTGAATTAATATGAAAACTTAATATTGAAAATGGCTACAGAGCAAAGAATGAGTTGCTAACATTAGTGATATTTGGGGAAATTCCAGTCTCTTTCTTTCTTTCCTTTTTTTTTTTTTTTTTTTTTTTTAGTAATCCTCACCCGAGGATATTTTTCCACTGATTTTTAGAGAGTGGAAGGGAAGGAAGGGATGAGAGAGAGAGAGAAAAAGAGAGAGAGAGAGAGAAAGAGAGAGAGAGAGAGAGAGAGAGAGAGACATCGATGAGAGAGAGACATCGACGAGAGAGAGACACATCACTTCCCACACATGCACTGACCAGGGCTGGGGATCAAGCCTGCAACCCAAGGTAGATGCCCTTGACTGGGAATCAAACCTGTGACCCTTTGGTGCCTGGGCCAACGTTCTAACCACTGAACAACACCATCCAGGGCCAGTCCCTTTCTTAAACACATGCCGAAAACCTGGGATGTGCAGGACGCTGTGTGAGCTGATGTGAGAGAATAAGAGCAAACCAGGTGCGCACCTGACTCAGCGGGCCTGGGCCGAGGGCGGAAGACGCCTGGATTGAGAAGCCGTTACCACACAATGTGGCGCGCAGCCAAGGGCCTCAGAGCAGAGAGGGAGCCTCATTCCGCTCAGAGGGGCTGCGAAAGGCTGAAGAGAAGATGCCGCTTCTGAGATGCACCTTACTGGGGTTTTGAGGGTGATAATAAACCTTCCTCTTAGCCCCCTGGAGTTTGAACCAATTAAGATAGACTAGGGAGTAAAATACTGTGTGTGAGACAGGATTAGAGAAGGAGGCTTGGCCTATGGGCAAAGTGTATTTTTCCCTCACATTTCCCTCCTAGTCGAGGCCTCGGGAACTGCACACGATGCACAAGAGAGATGTGGAAGGTGTTTTCTCAGCCTCACAAATAGAGACATGGGAACGTGAGGGTGGGGTGTGGACTTCTCCAGCCCTCCTTTCCTAAGGAGACACGGCCAGGAGGGAGGGAGGGCCAGGCGTGTTTCTGTGACCCTCCTCTCCTGAGAAGACAGCACAATGCCCTCCCCTCGACCCCACGTGGGAGCAGTGATCAGCAGCCCATGCAAACAGGGCTTGAAGGATGCGCAGAGACGCCACAGGTGGGTGGCAGGGAGCATTCCAAGTAGAGGGAACAGCCAGAGCAAAGCAGGAGTTCTCAGTGTTCAAGTGCCTCGGGCAATGGGGAGCCATTACAGAGAGTTTCTTGGAATATGTCAGTTTTCTCACCAAAGCTGGTGGAACCGCTGATTAAATATGTCTATTCCTCTAAGTCTAAGCCCTTATTTCTTGTACTCAGTTCAGGATCTAAAAATAGCACAGACGTGCCCTAGCCAGGTTTGCTCAGTGGATAGAGCCTCGGCCTGTGGACTGAAGGGTACCAGGTTCGATTCCGGTCAAGGGCACATGCCCAGGTTGCGTGCTCAATCCCCAGTAGGGGGTGTGCAAGAGGCAGCTGATCAATGATTCTCTCTCATCATTGATGTTTCTATCTCTCTCTCTCCCCCCTTCCTCTCTGAAATCAATAAAAATATATTTTTTAAATATTACAAAAAACAGCACAGAAGGGCTCTACACGTTTGCATTGATCTTATTGGGGTTCCCTGAGCTTTTTGAATCTGTGGGATGGTATATTTCATCCGTTTGGGACATGTTTTAGTCAGAATCCCTTTAACAATTGTTTCTGTGCAGTTCCTCCCTCTGTCTCCAATTACCCCCAGGTCTCACTATTAATGTCTATTTTTCCATATTTTTCTTCTATATAATTTGTTTTGAATATTTTATAAAATAATGACCTGTCTTCCCACTAGTTAGTATATTGTGATCACAATCGGCCATTCATTGAATTCTCATTTTAGATCTAGTATTTCCTCAGTTTGAGAATGTCTATTTGATTTTTGTTTTTATTGATTCTATTCCAAATGCCTGATAAAAATTCTCTATTCTGCCATCTATTCCTTTGCCATTTTCTCTCTCTACTTCCTTGAATATATTAATCACAGCTATTTAGCAGTTCCTAACTGTTCATATCTGGACCACCTTATTTCTATAGTCTAATTGTTTGCTTAGTTATCTGTGATCTTGCTCCTCACATGTTTGATAATTTTCTATTGTATGCCAGGCATTTTGAGAAAAGACTGTAAAGGCTCCATCTGACGTTTCCCCTCTCCTCTGTCAGGCATCAGGCGGGAGGCCGTTCCTCGGAGACTGAGCGGAACCAGGGCTTTGATACCAGTTGGGTCAGAGTTTGGTGAGACACGGTGTACTTCCAGCCTATGCCTGTGATATGGTGAGACTCCAGGGACTTCAATGCCTGCCTGGCAGGTCTTTGCCTCTCTCCTCCACCTGGAAAGGCAGCAGGAGAGCCACTGTCGCTTAAATGGAGTATTTGTAATAATTACAAAAAAATTCATTATCTGGTGGAAAAGCGAATATGTGCCTCTTCACATTCTGGGTCCCCAGACACCTCAACTGTGCCTCCAACAAGGAGCCGGTTGCTAGGAGACCAGCAGGCAAACTTCAAGAGACAAGTGGTTTCTACTTCTTCTCCCTGAGTTCTGTGCCCAATCCCAGCCTAGGCCAGCCTTGTGGCACATCTAGAAAAATAAAAATGGGAAACTCACACACTCTCCATTCCGTAACTGCAAGGTGACCTTGCACGTGTTGTTAGAGAAATAACAAAACTGTTTGTTAACATGCAGTGGAATACAGCCTCCACTTTAAGCTTCCCTTGTAACTGCTGTCTGCTTAGGATGTGGCTCAGATGTGCTGGAATGAAAGCCCCGAGGCAGCTGTAGAGGCTTCCTTCTCTTCCCTTTTGTGTTCCCTCTTCTGGAAATATGCAGGGGATGGGTTGGGCCACAGAAAGAAACCTAACAAATAAAAAAGAATAGGACTTAAATTTGCAATGTAACGACTCCACGTGGCTGGTCAATGGCCTGGATCACTTAGAAGATATGGGAATCCAGCTCAATGATCCAAACCCTAACATATTCACAAAGAAAACATGCAGCATCGATAAGAGACGATGAAATAAAATGGCCCCGGGCCTAATTCTGTCCTTCCGGGGGCAGGTGGTGACCAGGATGTTGACACACCGAGACGGGGTCCCTCCGTCTGCAGCCGCTTCCTAGCCTGGCAGCTTGTAAACAGGAACCCCGCCCAGCATCCTGGGCTGGGGATCCTGTGGTCTCCGCCAGCGCCAGCGTTTCCAAAAGATTTCCATGTGGACAGGCTGGCTCTGGATGAACACAGGCCCTCTCCCGATGCCGAGAGAGCTAGGATGGTTGGAGGCACAGTCCAGCCTGCACAGACGAAAATATTTACTATCCAGACTTTTCTAAAAAAGGGTGAGGAACTCCGCTTTAAATCAATGCCTAAAATTGAGACAATTTTGTTCTTCACTTAGAACAAAATATTTTTAAACAACATTTGTGAAACCAATGAAAAACATTCATCAACGTCAACTTTTCTGTTTTCTTCTTATGGTTCAACGATATGTGTAATAAGCGTTAGTTACTCAACAATTCAACGTGATGCTTGTCCCTAGTCCCTAGTACATTTGCTAAACGTATGATTTCTCACGTTATTACTCATACATGAATAATCTCATTTTGAATTCTTCACTCAAAAGAGAGGTTATTTCTTTACTTTTTATCCAAATTATATGATTTGGCCACTCTAGCATCAAATTTCAAAATCATTTCTGTTGAACTTTAGAAATATCCATTGTTTTCTGTAAATATTGCGCTATAAACACCATCAAAAGCGTCATGATATTTGTCCAAATATTAAACTTTTGATACTATTTCAGGCCTTCACATCCATGTCCTCATCTTTGTTGGGTACCTGGACTAGTCGTTGTATCCGGTTTTCTTTCATCGGTGTTAGTAATGGCATGTTGTAGAGGCATTTGGACATGCAAACGTGCCCACTGACAATGTTTCCAGGTTTTAAAAACTCACCAAGTCCATTTCTCTGAAGATTTTTCTTTTCTCTTTTCAGCTTTCTTTTTTCTTTTCTGAGCTCCACTCTCATATTCCCTTTTTTTTTTTTTATCATCATCTTGGCTTGTTCTCATAGTTTCAAGGATCTAAAAAAAATTAAATGTAATGGTTTCTCAAGTACACACAATTTTAATGTATATTTCTCAAAAATATAAATGACCACAAATCTATAATAATAAAAGTGTAATATGCCAATGAGACCGGACATCCTTCCGGACGACCTTCCAGACTAAGCGGGGGGCTTTGAGGGAAGCCTGGGTCCCAGGTGCCAGAGGGAAGCCGGTTCGGCAGCCGGGGGAAGGAAGGCCTACTCTTGCGCGAATTTTGGGCATCGGGCCTCTAGTGTAAAAATAAAAAGGAATGGGCATCTCGCTTCAAACATGTTACCCCTTGCTCGGCCTTGACACACACACGTTACAAGTGGTGGAAGCTCTGCCATCAGAGGAGAGGAGAGGAGAATGGAGACTCCGGGCAGAAAGCCATGTGGAATGATTCACAGACGTTCTCGTTGTCCTCTGACCGCCTTCCAGGTCGCAGCAGAGTCATGCTGTGTCCCTTGCTCAGCGCTCTGCGGACACCTCTCCCTGAAACTCCCTCCCCCCCCCCCCCAACCCCCACCCCGGTACCAGGTCTTTGACAGAAACTGTGCTCCGGAGGTCACCTGGTCAGTGAGCGGGTCTCTCCCAGCCCCAGCTGTTAGCGCAGAGGCTGAGGGGCTACGGGTCCTGCTCAAATCCACCGTGGGGGGCTCCTGGTCCCGGGAGAGCCCCAGGTTCTGAGCCCAGTCCTGTGGCCTGCCGTTTCCTCTGGCCCCAGCTCTCCTCCCCGTGAAGGCAAAACCCAGAAGAGACAGCAGAGGGCGCGCGCAGCCTGCTGTTGGCGCCCAGGCCGGGACTCACCGAAGTGTAACTTTCCCCGCAGCTCGGCTCTTGCCCAGGGACCTTCGGGCACAGAAAACACAGCGCGGCCTCGGCGAAGGGCTCCCCGGGGCGCACTAGGGTCTCCTCCCAGATCCATCGCCCGCGTCGCTCCCTCACGCCGCCCTCTTACAGCAGCTGCTCCCCAGCGTCGGGGGAAACAGCTTTTGCCTCTCAACTCCGGTGTTTCCCGGGACGTCCGGGGGGACTCACCGTCACTGTGATTCTCTCCCAGCAGACAGGCCGCCGCCTGCCGGGAACGGAGGGCTTTCCTCTCCCCCGGGGCCACGGCGCGTGGTTCATCCGTGGACGCGTGGGCACGCGGGGGAGGAGCCCTGTGTCCGCGGGGCCCTCAGTCACCTGGCAGTAATGAGGCCGATCAACCTCCGCCGAGGGTCTCCCTTTTAAAGGCAGCCCCGCCCGGCACTTTGCGCTTCGGTAACATCGTAAGAGCAGGCGCAGCCTCCCTCCCCCGCGCCAGGCCGGCCCGCAGCCGGGATTCTTGCTTCTCCTTTTCCTGCGGAGGAGCCCAGCTCTCCACGGGGCCCCAGGTTGCGGGGCCACAGTTTGCGGGGCCCCAGGTTGCGGCCCCGCGCGCGGAGCCCGGACTCAGAATCCAGAGCCGCTCACCCCGGGGCGCCTGCCCTCCTCTCCGCGCGCAGCGCTGCGGTGCGGTGCTTGCCCAGGGCCCGCGGGGCCTCGCCCTGACCCTCGCGGTGCATCGCTGAGGCCTCAGCGCCGGTCAGGAGAGCCACCGGGACCCGGAGGGCCTGGGCAACGGTGACCCAAGGAGCCGAGCCTGTCCTTGTCCTGCTCGGGCGCGGGGAGCCGGACTGCTGGCCCCTAGGAGGAGGCCGTGGGACCGGGAAGGGCCGGGACGGGGGCCAGGGTGCGTGTGGAGGCTGGGGGGGGGGGGGGTCCATAACTGGCTGACGGGCCTCCCAGGGACCGTTTAAGGGGGGGTCCCAGCCTGGGTGCTGGCGCCGGCCTGCTCCCAGCCCCGGGCTGTCAGGGTCCTGTCCTCCCTCCCGGAGGCCGCGACCCACCTGCCTGGGACACACTTTGCCCTGAGTGACCATCGGTCTCCCTCCAGGGCCCGGAGCCCTGAGCGCTGCTGCAGGTCACAGGGAGCGCGGGTTCTGGTTTGAGTGCAGAAGACTCTCCCAGCGCTTGGAGCTTCCCCTGCACGGCGCGCCTCGTGGGCAGGTGGGACACCCAGGTGGCCACAGACTGAAGGCGGTGCTGTGTGAACTTCCGCCCGGCAGGTACACACACACACACACACACACACACACACACACACCCCTCCAAGCTGCATCAGAGGGGAGGCGAAGTCGCAGCTGGCCGGGGAGGTGTCCCTAGCCGGGGCAGGGGCAGTGTTCACATCACCCCCAGTGCCTGGAAGCCTGAAGTCTGGGATGGGCTGGCCTTGGCTGGAAGCTGAGAAGCATTTAGGTCTCAGGGGGACGTGGGCGTCCCTTTCGATAGCTTCTTTGTTTTTTTTAATCCTCACCTAAGTGATTTCCTGTCGATCTTTAGAGAGGAAGGAGGGGGGAGAGAGAGAGGAACATCGATGTGAGAGAGACATATCGATTGGTGGCCTCCTGCACACCCCCCAGCCCAGGGTGGGGATTGAGCTGCAGCCCAGGTATGTGCCCTTGACGGGAATTGAACCTGAGACCAACCGGTGCACAGGCGACGCTCTAACCCCGGAGCCACACCGGCCAGGGCGCTAGCTTCTTTCTTAAAGTCACAAACCCTCCAGAGACGTCACCGCGCCCTCCCAGCTGAGGGCTGCCCTTGGTCCCACTCCTGCTGCTCCTGTGGCCAGTGCCCTGGCAGGCTCAGGCCGGGGCCCGGCTGGCAGGGCTGGTGGCTGCCCAAAGGGGCGCAGGAGGGAGGTGCCGGGGAGTAGGCTGCCGGAACTCCGCACTGAGCGCCCCTGGCTCCGGGCTCAGAAGGCCGGGCAGCGGCTGCCTCCCTGAGATGACAGCAGAGGGTGTCGCGGCCCCACGAACGGCAATTCCGGCCTCACCTCCCTGTCATGGAGCTGCAGAGCAGCTAGACATTCCGAGAGCATTGGCTGTGGCTCAGCCTCAGGAACCGCTGCCTGCTGGCTGGGGCCCCTGAGCCATGCCCCGGCCACCTCCTGCCTGCCGGCCACTCTTCCCTGGTGGCCCTTCGCTGGCCTTTCGGGGGGCAAATAGCAAACCCCATGTTCTCGGGAATGAGTTGAGAACTCGGAGCCTTCAGGGTGGTAAGCCGTCTCAGGACCCAGAACAACTGTGGACACTTGTCGGGGTTTGGGGGTGGGGAGTCTTGATCTTAGTAGGAAGAGGGGCTGGGGTGGAGGTTGCTGTCCTCCCCCTGGGGTTCCTTCCAATGGCTCTCTCCATGGCACTCAGACCGGCTGGTGATAACTACAGAGGGGAGCGTGTCTCGTCTGGCGAACCAGCCCGTGGATCGTGGGCCGTGGGCCGGGGGCCGTGGGCCGGGGCCAGGGGCCGGGGCAAGGGCATGGAAGGAGCGAGCACAGCGGGCCTCGTGGTCCAGCGGCAAGCTGACCGGTCTCCCCCGCCCCTCGGGTGCCGTTAGTATCCCTGGCTCCTGGCTCCTGGCTCCTGATGGAATGTCCGGTGTTTCAGCCTTTTGTATTGAGATGTAATTGACGTGTAACTTGTAGATTAGTTTCAGGTGAACAACAATATGACTCAATATTTGTGTACATTTTGAAGAATCACCGCAGTCAGTTAACACCCATCACCACACCGACTTACAGTTTTTTTCCTGTGATGAGAACTTTTAAGATCTAGTCTCTCAGCAGTTTTCAAATGTACAATCCAGTACTGTTAACGGTGGAGTCACGTGCGGCACAGCACATCTCCGTGACTCACGTGCTTTACAGGCGGGAGCTGCACCGCTCAGGAGTGGCCTCAGGTAGAGATGAAGCTTATTGCTCGCCCGCCCTGGCCCGGGTGGTTCTCAGATCTCTGTGCTGTCCAAGCAGCCCACTCGTTTTCAGTGGCTCCCGGGGTTGAGGGTGTGCCAAGGCCCGTCAGGGTCCTGAAGGGCGTGTCTCGGTCCGCACCTGAGTCCAGACTGACTGTGAGCCACACCTGGCAGCAGCTGCTGATGTGTGCGAATCTGCCTCCCAGGGCGGCCTGGGAGGTGACCTCTCTTACCTCTGCCCTGAGCTCTGAGCCCTGGGCCCTGAGCCCTGGATCCTGAGCCCTGAGCCCTGGGCCCTGAGCCCTGAGCCCTGGGCCCTGAGCCCTGAGCCCTGGGCCCTGAGCCCTGAGCCCTGGGCCCTGAGCCCTGGGCCCTGAGCCCTGGGCCCTGAGCCCTGAGCCCTGGGCCCTGAGCCCTGAGCCCTGAACCCTGGGCCCTGAGCTCTGAGCCCTGGGCCCTGAACCCTGGGCCCTGAGCTCTGAGCTCTGAGCCCTGGGCCCTGAACCCTGGGCCCTGAGCTCTGAGCCCTGGGTCCTGAGCCCTGGGCCCTGAGCTCTGAGCCCTGAGCCCTGGGCCCTGAGACTTGAGCCCTGAGTCTTGAGCCCTGAGTCCTGAGCTCTGAGCCCTGAGCCCTGAGCCCTGGGCCCCGAGTGGTAGCCAGTTCAGAACTGTTCTCTCCTGCTGCCATCCCACTGAACTGTGAACACAGTCCTGCTGGCATCAGAGCCAGGTGACCGAGGGGGCACCCCTGGGCGGCAGCCACAGAAACCAGGGCCCCAGCTGCAGGCCCAGGCTTCCAGGAGACGCCAGCCTGTGCAGCGCGGAGAGGCACAGGGCGAAGAGAGCGCCCGCCCTCCGGAGCCTTCCGAGAGGATTCCAGTTGCCCTTAGATGTATCTAATTAGAAGCCTGTGTGTGTCTAATTAGAAGGCTGCCCCTCAGGCCACAGCTATGAAAACAAGCTAATGGGCCTTTTTCACCGGGAGACTGGGCGCCTCTGTCTGTGCCTCTCTGGGGGCCCTGGGAGGGGTAGCAGGTTAAGAACGCTTTCTCCATCTGCTACCGTCCTGGGGGCCCGTGGGCATAGTCGCCACTGGCCACCGAGCCAGGCAATCTAGAGGTGTCCCTTGGGCAGAGGGAGCTACTGATGAGCTGGAGGGAGGCAGGGGGAGGGGGCAGGGATGGTGCCTGCTCTTCAGGCTGAGGCTTTTAAGATCAGCAAACAAGCCTCTTTCTCAGAAAGGCTGGGTGCTCTTCCATCCACAGCCTCTGCTCCCGGCCCTGGGGTGGGGAGTTGTCCATGCGTGAGCCCTTTAAGAACTGTTCCTTAGTTTGCTGCAGCCTGTGGGTCTCGTGGACACAGCCCCCCGGCTTTCAAAGCTGGATGTTGTGGGGGCTTGTTGCTCAGGTGCCAGATGCAGGGCTCAGGCCCTTTGCTCCCCAGGGAGAAGCTCAGGGGCGAGCCTGTGACTCGCTCTGTCGCGGTCGCCACACTGGGGATGGGAGTTATGGCCACATTACGGCTCAGGCCTCTCCTTGCCACTTCGACAGGGTTTTTTGCCTTGGCCCAGCGTGTGGGAGTTGCTCAGCTAGTTCTGGGGTTTTTATTTCCGAGGCAATTGTTCCGCATGTAGCTGTACAGGTGTTGTGTTCGTGGGAGGAAGTGAATTCAGCACCTTCCCACACAGCCGTGTTGAACTAGAACCTGCTGTGGTGGCGCTGATGAAGGCTGTAGGAGTCTGGGAGGGCAGCGTGCCTCCCACGTGGGAGCCCGGGGAGAGGCGTGGGGAGTGCGCAGTCTGTGACGAGCTTTTCCTTGGAGGTGGGTCCCTTCCCTCCCTTTGACTCTGGGCCTGGCCACACACAGGCAAGGGCCCTGAAGCCACTTCGGGATCTAGCTTTTAAGAAAACTGGCAGCTTCCACCTGCGTCCCTTGGGGTCTTGAGTGCCTGCTGGGAAGGGCCTGTGGAGAGGCTGAGACCCCATAGAGGGTCAGGGCCCAGTCAAGCCCAGCTTCCTGCTGTGCCCACCAAGGGTCAGGAATGTGAGGGGAGCCACCCTGGGCGCTCTAAGCAGCCCACAGGGCACCAGCCATCCCAGTTCCTGCCACCGGGAGCAGGAGAGTCACCCAGGGGAGACCTGCCCAAAGTCCTGAAATGGTACAAATAAAATGGTGGTTGAAGCAACTAAGTACGCAATACAGGCATGCCCCATTTTATTGCACTCACTTTGTTGCATTTCACACGTTACAGTTGTACATGTCACAGTTGTACAAGCTGAAGGCGAGACCCTCCACCAGCGGACAAGTATGACTCACTTTATTGCGGAGGCCTGGGACCAAGCCCGCAATAGCTCTGAGGCAGGTGTGGAGTTGCACTTTATTGCGGAGGCCTGAGACCGAGCCCGCAAGAGCTCTGAGGCAGGTGTGGAGTTGAAGTGGCCACTGATCACCAGCGCCCTGGCTACAGGGAGAGGTCCTGACTGGGAACGCGTCTCCCAGGGGCGCTGCTGCAGGCCTCACGGGCAGTCGGGCGGCACTTGGGGTTTCGCCGGGGCTTACGCTTGGGAGCTGGGCTTGTTTTGTTCCTCTCAGTCTGTTGTTCAGCAAGCAGCCTGCAAGGACCTCGGCACAGTTTCCTCACAGATGGGCTGAGAGGGAGAAACCGGAGCTCGCTGCTTTGC